GGGGGCCGGTGGGGTTGGGAAGGGGCCAGCGGAGGTGAAGAGGGCTGGGGATGGCGGGGACGGCAGGTGGGAGGGGCCGGGGCGGTGAGGAGCCGGGCGCCTGCCTGGCTGAGGCAGCGGCTCCGCCTGTCCTGGGAGGGACCCTGGGGCTTGTGTCCACCTGAGAAGGGGACACGGGCCCCGCCCCACTGGCCTTCCCTCACCCGGGACTGCTGCCCTCTCCCGCCAGTGCCCGCCGTCCTCTCGGGAGCCGGCAGGACCTCGCCCTGACCACGACAGCCCAGCTGCTCCTCTGCCCACTCCATGACCGTGGTCTGCGCTGACCTGGGCCCTGGCCCACCGGTAGCACGGTCAGGATCTGGGATGCGCACCAGTGTGGGCTGCAGCCACTGAAGCACGTGCAGTGAGGCGACTGACCTTGGCCCACGGGGCGGGGACGCCCAGACCTGCGGGGTGCAGGCCGCCTGCTGGGGCCCTGCTGCCCAAGCCCGCCGGCCCTGCGCCAGCAGAGCTGACGTCCCCACCGTCCCGGCCCACGGGAAGCCACACACGTCTGTGGCGAAGACCAAGTCGGTTAGGCCGGGCCGGCCTCCGTACCTGCGGGCGGGGCCTCCCTCCAGGCCTCCAGGTCCAGGCGGGGGACACGCTCGCAGGGCGTGAAGTCCTCGGGGAACCTCCCCCCGCGGAAGGCGTCCGCGGGCACCTGTGGCAGCCGGGTGTTGTCGCAGACCAGCCTGGACAGCGAGTACCGCCGCAGCGCCCGCCTCTGCGCGCCGGTGAACACGCCGGCCGCCTCCCACCAGAACCTGCGGGCGGCCCAGGTCAGGGCGGCGCCCACGCCGGCCTGGCCGAGGCCGAGTAGGTGGGTCAACAGGTTGGGGTCGCTCGCGGTGTCCCTGGGGGCCGGGCCACTTCCAGGAGCTCCCAGCACCCCCAGTCTTGCCACTCCCCGTCTCCTTAGCCAGGACTTCCCAGGGCGGCTGCGGGCAGGGGCCACAGTGTCGGGAGGGTCACAGGCATTTGGGGGGAGGCTGGTGTCTGGGAGAGGCATCTGGGGGAGGCATCTGGGGGCGCCGGCATCTGGGGGTACTGGCATCTGAAGGTCACTGGCGTCTGGGGGAGCACCAGCATCTGGGGGACATTGGTGTCTGGGGGGCATGGCATCTGGGGGCACTGGCATCTGGGAGTGCTGGCATTTTGGGGGCCATGGCGTCTAGGGTGCTGGCTTCCGGGATCAGCCACAGGGGTGTGGCCTAGGGCTCAGCCTGTAGCATCAAGCGTCACTGTCGGCTCTGGCCCAGGAGCCTGGCTCTGGGTGCCCCCTGCCCTCCTGCAGGGCGGCCAGGAGCCCCCCGGGTCGGCTTGGCCGGGCCTCGGCCCCCAGGCAGTGGTGGCCTGGCCGCTGCGGAGACTGGCTGTGAGGACCGGGTGGCAGCCCTTGGGGCGGGGCGCG